AAATGATTCCCCTTTAGGAAACACCCAAAGACAGACCATGAGGTGTGGAACTAAAAAAGAAAATATCAACCTCAGCAGGAGACTGCATCACATTTGATTCAGGTATACTCTTTGCCCTTTTATGACTGTGTCGTGAACATAAAATGCAGAAAAACATGAAGAAATCCCATAATATGCATTACCGAGTAATGGGACCCCTGGGTGTCGAGTGGCTATGGTGCAACAGACCATAGTGATAGTTCGACCTCATCCAACATTTGGTGGTATCTGGAATTGTACATCAGTTTCACAGTAGGCAGAGGATCACCTACCTCTTCACCTTGAAATGGAAACTGGTAGGGAAGACAAGCTTTTGTACCAAAATACATCTCCACTTGCTTGCAGTTCCAACCCAACCAACACCTGATCCACCACGAACCGACATCCAGCTGATTGTAGGAAGGAGGAAAGCCCTGGTGGGATGACATCTCCAGTCCAAAACCTGGAAGCATTGGGTATGGTTCTTCGAGTCCATGGTAAGAGGAGAATACCCAGCTTTACACAAGTGGGAATACATGTGCTATGTCTAGCTACAATCAACAACAGATCCACTACGAACAAACATCCAGCAAATGGTAGAAAGAGAGGCCATAAACCTGGGGTGCATCTCTAATCCAAAACCTGGGAACACTGGGTATTTTTGATCCAGTCTGCAGTAGGAGGAGGGATACTGGCCAGAACACATGTGAGGACGTACTTAGCTGAACCATCTCCAACCAACACCTGACCCCCATGGGAACCACATCTGGAGGATGGTGTGTAGGAGGAACATATCAGCCTGAGGGGCAAACTGCAATATATATATATATATATATATATATATATATATGTGTGTGTGTGTGTGTATGTGTGTATGTATAGTAGTGACATAGTGGAGTGCTTCAACCAAAACCTAGCAGTATCTCGAATTGTATATCATGTCAATGGTAGGAAGACCATCATACCATCAACATCATCTAATCAAGACTGGGCCATCTCCAACCAACACCAGACCTACCAGGAATGTACATTTGGAAGATGGTAGGAAGGAGGAATTCCACAGTGAGAAAAGCAATTTGCCAGATATATATATCGCAGAATGCCACCGCCCTACTCTCAACTGAATGGTATGATGCATCACTCAGGAGGACAGGCCTCCTAGGAACTGATAAGTGGCAAGGACTTCCATATTTTACTAGAAGAAAGGAGAGAAAAACAGATTGGAGAGTCTGGAGGACTGCATCACCAAAGACAGTGCATTGGGTGACCTCAATATCCTATTTTGAAAAGCAGAGCTAACACAACAACGGAGTTGATCAACCAACACCCGGCAGCATCTGGAATTGTATGCCAGGTCTGCGGTAGGAAGTTTCAATGCCATGGAGCATCAGAGATGGGCAGCAATCCCAATCTCCTTTATTTATGAAGCAAAAGACCATTAGAGAGAACTACTAGTGGACCTACAGAACACTCCTTCTTCTGTACAGTGTGCATAACCTAATCCTGTGACGTAATTGTTTCAGCATAGATGACAATTGAAAGGAAACACACAACCAAAATCTGGCTGCACCTGGAATTATACATCAGGTCCACAGAAGAAAGAGCTACAACATAATTGACATAGAGCATGGTCACAGTATATACAGTATGAATTTTAAAAAAAGTATACCTGGGCAAGCACCACTCGCCACAAAGTGGGATACACAATATGCTAGCAAAAAGGTCCCTGTAAATAAAGAAATAACAAAAACATAGTTAAAAAAACTAAGTCTGTAATATGAAGTAAAACGTTGACAAAGTTGCGAACAAAAACAAGCACGTCTGAACAGTACTACTGTCAGTTAGGAAGTGATTAACGAGTGCAAATATGAAGAGGGCACTGGCTACGATAGGGGTTGTGTTGTACTACTATTTGTGGAGATCTGCTGCATAATCGATTTACATGTGAATATGCAGAAGCAAGAAGTGGAAGGCTAGTGGTGAGCATTGAAAATGTGTGCCGATAGAGGGCAGTACTAGTCTAGAAAAGCTATTTTGTGAGAAGAGGCAAGATATTATATCAGAACAATAATTCTGATAAATCAAAGTCCAATTCACAAAACACTTGATATACAAAGCAGTAACCGCAAATAAAAATAGCAACATACTTCAATATATTACAGTGACAGCTGCAGCTGTAATGATTAAGAAAAGATTGTATCAAAGATGGTTCTAATACTCTGTCTTCAACTGACAAACTATGGCTAGTTGAGCTTGTGATCCATAAACTGGGAATTAAATCAACGTCCAACGACTAACTGCATTAAGGTATATTTACAGGCTTCCCAGATGTGTCTATTTCCTACAGTCTTTAAACTAAAGGTTAAATTTGACAAATTACATGCTAAAATTGACTGGAAATACAGTCTATATTTAGCAGAATCTTTATTGATAAGGTGTTATGATCAATTAAGTCCTATAGAACCAAATATTGGTATATACCTCAAATACAGTTGTTTCCTACCTTCTACCTAACAACTGAGAATAATCTTCTTACCTTGGAACTAAGTATACTCATGTGGTACTGGTCATAACGAGTATCTGCTTCAGAGCACACATACAACAGTTACAAATACAGTTGTTTCCTACCTTCTACCTTACAACTGAGAATAATCTTCTTACCTTAGAACTAAGTATACTCATGTGGTACTGGTCATAACGAGTATCTGCTTCAGAGCACACATACAACAGTTACAAATACAAGTTGTTTCCTACATCCTACCTAACAACTGAGAATAATGTTCTTACCTTAGAACTAAGTATACTAATGTGGTACTGGTCATAACGAGTATCTGCTTCAGAGCACACATACAACAGTTACAACTATGAACTGAATGTTACATTTTCAATAAAGAACAAAAAACGTTTCTGTAAATATACATCTTTTTCATGGGCTGAAGCGTTAAAAAGCAGGTTTTGAAGTTTAAATATCTGAAAAGGTTTTTCTGGAAGGCCTACATTTAGTACTAAGAATGATGCATGAATACTACTTCTGTGTTGTGAATACAAGCTGGTCACACACATGGATTCATGAAAATACTATATAAAGTTTGGAACAACTTAAAACATGCTCTCTTGTTTCACCAAGATTTATGGTTAGACCACTAATGACTAAAAATACATATATTCTCTCACTAATATGAACAGGTAGAAAAGCATCAAATCTTATACTTCAAAAGAATGTACAAATACCACATTTTGCAAAATAATCACAAAATTTGTATCCAATACACATGTAGAGGTTTTGATGATTAGTGCAAAAACAATAAACAGTTTCTAAATGTACAGTCAATAAACAATCACTTCTAACAGTTAAACACAGTACTAAGTATCAAGTTTATACACATTCTTTGAACCTTTTAAAAAACAACTTTTATTTTGGAAAAAAATGTTTACTAATTTTTTCATTTGCTTTATCTTTCTTATGCTGATGAACAAAAAACTGTTTCCATTGGATAGTCAAGACAAATTTGAACTATGTATGCGTAAGATGACAGCTTCTCTTTAGAACAGTTTTCTAGTCTCACTATTCCAGTTAGACAAGACTCAAGGAGTCTCTAGAAAAAAACTAACTCTATATAAAAAAAAGCAAGTTGTTTCAAATGACCAAGATAAACCTTCTTCAAGTATCTGCAACATTATCTATACCTTGCTTCTTAAGAAGTATCCATTTAACTTACAAACAATATGAAGTTTCGAAACTTGCACTTTAAATGTTGTATGTGATCATGTCACTGTTAGAGACAAAAGGTTGTACAGAAATAAGCTGATTATCCTACATATAGCTGTTTCAAAACTTCATATTACCTATATCTCGTAAAGCTGAGCTCTATATGCCTTCTAAAATAATAAATCACAGAAATGCCTGTCCACAATGTCATTGTCAAGTAAAAAAAATTGCATGTAAATACACTATTTCTTGCTATAACATTACACATTTGGCCTAATGTCTGTCACAATAAAGATCTATAATTAGAAGCTTTATCATATGTTCATGAAAGTTCTGTTTTACGAAACAATGTCCCTAAGTATCACACAATAAATGACACATTTTTCATTCTTTGTTTAATTGTGGGAACAGGGGGAGTGATGTAGGCTAGTTCGCTTCTATTGTCCTAATACATCTAATTTACCTTTATTCCTCTCCATTACAAATTTAAATAGATGATTTTTTTTTATTGTATTGTACATATGATATAGTACTTGCAGAAAATCATATTTACCGTCTAAAAAACATAATAAATATATTTTTAACTAACCATTTTTGAACATGGTTATTTTAATTTTTAGAACAGAATTACATCCATAACATTTATACTACATGCATATTCATTACAACACACAGCCTTCTGCCTTCTTAGGAGCATTTGTAAACATCAACAACGAAAAGTGACTTTACGCAATGATTTATTTGTCATTGTTTTATATGAATTATTTCATAAAACTAATTATTTCTATAAATCCTTTATGGTTATCTTAATTCAAAAATTCTACATAGAAAGATTTAAGGCTATGTTTATTTCCTCTCTAGAAAATGCATCAAGGCACTTGCATTTTGGCCCACTGAATGTAATTTTCCAATTACTGATAGGTTTTCTTGCAATTTATTTACTATTAAACAGATCAATAATTTGTCATAAGATCTACAGAGACCTAAGTATGTGCATGCAAAGGTACAGAAAAATTTCCTTTAATAGCTTAGTTATTTTCTTCACTGCCTAATACTCCATGCCCAGAATACATGTGTATTTTCAACACATAATTTTATACACAGCAATATTCCTAGACTTTTATGCAGGAATCATCTAACTCACAATTTTCATTTCAGTTTGTGATATTTTATGCAAATTACATCACAAAAACAGCTAACAAGAGCTTCTTAAAAATAATAAAAAGTTTATTGGATTTCACACAAAGTTATACAAGTGCTATCTGCACTAGCTGTCCTTGATTTTGAAGTAGTAGACTAGTGGGAAGGCAGATAGTCAACACAAACCACTGTCAACTCTTGTCAAACCCAAAAGTGGGATTTGACTTTCAACTAGCTGTCCTTGATTTTGAAGTAGTAGACTAGTGGGAAGGCAGATAGTCAACACAAACCACTGTCAACTCTTGTCAAACCCAAAAGTGGGATTTGACTTTCAACTAGCTGTCCTTGATTTTGAAGTAGCGGACTAGTGGGAAGGCAGATAGTCAACACGAACCACTGTCAACTCTTGTCAAACCCAAAAGTGGGATTTGACTTTTAAACTGATATTTCACTCACAGCTTCAAAATGTGGAGTATAACTTTTTCTTTTTTTTTTTTCACTGTAACAGGACATGAACCATGGAACCTCAGCTTCACTATCTGGCATGCTAACCACTGGGCATTCCTCGGCCCACATACAAAAAAGCAAAAACAATTTGTTCAAAAGTGTTCATTGGTGAACAAGTGTGTAGTCTAACATCATATACTACGTAAGGTACTTCATTTACAAAACACATACTTTACTTCAACGTTATATGTAAAACATTCCATAACTAGGCCATTAACTGAGATGCAAGTCGTGTACAAAGATTAACATTTAGCATATACTAGTTTAGATTTCATAAATTCCAGAGACCTTAGTCAATTATGTAAAAATTGGAAGTTGTCAGACTAGTTTTTCAAGTCTACCTATGGTTCAACAGGTCCTGATACATATTATGGTATCACCCATAAGAACCAAACACGTTATTACCTCAATGTGAATAACTAACAATTCTAACTTCCTTAAGCAATTGTTACTGCATCTGCATGAAAATTCTTTTTTTATTTAAAAAGTTAGACCCAAGACTTGGGTCAAGTTCTCCTTTCAAAAGAGTACAACTGGTAAACAACACATGTACTCATCTCCTTCCTAATCATGATGCCAATTCAATTAGTCTGATATGTAGTTAGCAAAGCTGCATCTACAGGTTCCATGCAAGATGGACAAGTAAACGAGCGCATTAACCAGTCATCAATACAAACCGTGTGATAGGTATGTAAGCAAGGTAGATATCTTACAGCATCTCCAATGACAAATTCTCCCATACAGATTACACACCTGGAAAGCAGAGAAAAAAATAACCAATCATCATGGACAGTGATAAATTTTAATCTTCTTACCACACTTATACACACAAATTATATATCTAATGCTTGAAACACTTGAAATTATAATAGGGAGGTGTGACTTTTTGTAATAAATTCTTCTTCTCAATTATCTTATCTAAAAGTATATCTTTAAAATATTTATTTCCAGTTCAAATGTTTTACCCATAAACAAAGTAACAGTTGTGAAAATGTTAAATATTTTCAAAGTAACATGGTTACTGTGGGTTTAAGAAATTTCTAACAACTTTAAATGACAAAGTTTGAGATCCTGACACAAAATTCAAGAAGAAAAAACATTTTAAATAGACACAAAAACTAGCTCATCAGTAGTAAAAAATTTCATTTATCAGTTAATTTATTTCTCTGTAGATCTTGTAACCACCATAAAAAATTAGGTAATAAATATAAGTTATGCCTCTTTCATTCTAGAATGACAACAAGTTATAATACAAAAACATTAATGTTTAGACTAAATAGCTTAAATCTAATAACATTATACATTTATATATATTTATTACTTTTATTCTATTGACCTAACAATACAGAAGTTACAATGATGCGGCTCAGGTGTGCCATATCCAATAATATAAAACTGACCTTTAGTCTTTACAAAGTGACCTGTCTTGGCTGTGTTTTAGTAGACTAGTATTTTGTAAAATACAGTCACATTTCAATTATTATATATTATATACGAATATAGATTTATATACTATTTAGAAATAAGTTCTTAAACTTATTTTTTTAAAATATAC